CTCATTTCTTTTGATTCTTTTTTCTTTTTTCCTCTCTGCTTCATTTATTTCCACCATTTTATCTTCTAACTCACTTATCCTATCTTCTGTCTCTGTTATTCTACTCATGGTTCCCTCCAGAGTGTTTTTGATCTCATTTATTTCATTACTAATTTTTAATTGACTTTTTCTGTTTCTATTTTGTAAACAAGTTCCTTTGTACTGTTTAATAGATTCCACGTATGGGTGTTATCGTCTACTACTTGTCTGTCTGAGTGACTTCACTTGGTGTGATCATCTCCAGGTGCGTTCATGCTGCTGCAAGGGGCAATATTTCATCCCTTTTTGTAGCTGAGTAACATCCCATTGTACATACGGGCTTCGCAGGCGGCTCAGCGGTAAAGAAACTGCCGGTCAGGCAGGAGTCACAGGGGCCACGGGTTCGATCCCTGGGTCTAGAAGATCCTCTGGAGAAGGAAGTGGCAACCCACTCCAGTATTCTTGCCTGGAAAGTTCCACAGACAGAAGAGCCTGGTGGGCTACAGTCCCCGAGGTCCCAAAAGAGTCGGACACGACTCAGCGACTCAGCAACAACAGCAGCAAGCAGAGGCTGCAGGGAGAAGAAGCGCCTTTTCTCTGCGCCCTCAGACTTGCTGGGCAGTTGCCCCGAGGTAAGTAGCAAACTGCGGTCCAGACCAGCTTTGGCTCCTCTCTTTATCGGTGTTGGACCCTGGTTTTATTAACTCTTGGAGGCCCTAAAACAGTGTCGGTTATGCTCCAGCTTGCTTTTCTGCCCTCAGTTTGTGAACACGCCACACCCTGTCTTCGCCTGTCCAGGAAGGCCGGAAGTGTCACCTTGCTCTCAAGGAACGCAGCTCATCTGGCCCCCTGACTGGTCTCTCTTCCCTTCGGGTCCAGATCATTGTTCCTCGAGAATTTTCCTTCGCCCCAAGGAACAGAGTGGAATGGGGGACCCGAGGCCTCCCAGCTCGGCCCACTGTCTGGTAAGTGAGCTGTCAGACATCTGGATGGAATGGGGCTTGCTTTTTGTTACGAGCAGCTGCGAAGACTGCTGCTCATACCCCAACCCCTGTGTGTGTGACGCACACATGGAGACAGACTTTGGGAGAGCACACAGCCAGCCAGGTACTTTGCTGAGAGCCCTGTAGGCATCGCTCCCTTCGGTCTTCCCAAGGATCTGTGAGGTGGACCGTCATTTGTCCCATTGGATGCAAGTAGCTTTGGCTGTGCAGAGTCACACAGCTGGTGAGTGCAGAACCAAGACTTGCACCTTCATCTCTCTCACTTTCAACTCTAGGCTTTTAAGCGCTATCCTAAACCACCAGCCCCGAAAGCAGATCATCCTAAAGCTGGAGGGGACTTTGAGCATGCCAAGTCGCTTCAGCCGTGTCTGACTCTTTGCAACTCTATAGACTGTAGCCCGCTAGGCTCCTCTGTCCATGGGGTTCTCCAGGCAAGAATACTGGGGTGAATTGCCATGCCCTCCTTCAGGGGATCTTCCCAACCCAGGGATTGAACCCGTGTCTCCTGAGGCTCCTGCATTGGCAGGCAGATCCTTTACAGCTGAGTCACTGGGGAACCCTGGAGGGGCTTCGAGGGAGCTTTAAAAGCTTTGTCAATGTCCCTGCCCCTCTGCCCGCCCACTAAATCTGTGGCTGGGGCCTGGCCTGGGTATGTGATTTTTTAAGTTCTGCAAGTAATTCTGAGGGCAGCCTGGATCTGAGAACCGGTAAAATCCAACACGTCTATTTACAAAGGATGAAACTGAGGCCCAGAGCGGGGTTCTCCCAAGTCTGTGCTTCTGCTGGGAAGCAGAAGTGGAGTTAGGACTGGGAACCGTTCTAGTCCGTGGGGAGACCCTATGCGGCCAGAAGCACTGACGGCAAGCGCCGACTCCAAGCCTTCGCGTGGGGCTGACTCCAGACAAGAAGCCAGACACCTGCGCCTGCTCCCCCTCCAGCCGCAAGAGGCTCATTTGTCCGTGCTCAGCCCTCAAACGCCAGTCTGAACACTAGGAACTGAGTTTGTCTCCCCGGTGGCCCTTTCAGGGATGCTGTTTGGAATTTTAAAGTCCCTCCACTAGGGCAGGGAGCCGATTTCCCGAGGCTGGTTCCCCCTGCCCCCCGACTCTGGTCCCTCTCGGCAGGCCCAGTGGGTCCTGACCTCACCTGGGGCTGCACGTTCCCCGCGTCAGGTACAGGCCTCTCTCCTCTCAGCCACGTGGCCAGCTCCACATGGCAGATTTGTGGCCAAAGTGCACAGAGGTTGGGCTTAGGTTCTGAGAACCTGGTTCGAGGAGGGTAATGACCGGATCCTAGAGGGAGCGGCGGTGGGGGGCGGGGAGGGGGCGTGGTCCGACCCCGCCAGGCTGCCGAGGCGTGGGTGCTCAGTCGCTCCGTTGTGTCCGACTCGTTGTGACCCCATGGACTGTACCCCCCCAGGCTCCTCTGCCCACGGCAGTTCTCCAGGCAAGAACACTGGGGCGGGTTGCCATGCCCTCCTGCAGGAGATCTTCCTGACTGAGGGGTGGAACTCACATCTGCTGTGTGTCCTGCATTGGCAGGTGAGTTCTTTACCACTACCGCCACCTGGGAAAAGCTCGGGAATTTGGGAGGTCAGCAAAAGTGGCAGAGATGCCGAGATATTCCTCCCTCTTCTCGGGGGACCCAGGAACCAGCCTTTGATCCCACCACACTGCCGGCTGCACTGGGCTGCACCCCTCAGGAGGGAGGGGACATCTGGACCTGGGAGATAGGACCTGACCTGACCCAGAGCCTGGCCTCAGGGGAGGGGATTCCCCTTCCCGCGGTGACGGGGGAGTTGTGTCATCCGGTTCTTACATTCCATCTTGTTTGTTTAATCTTGTCAGCAATCCGTGCTGTTTGTCTGCTCACCTTCTCTGGTTTCCCACCCCTTGTGGGGCGCTCATGTCCTCACTCAGAGCAGCTTCCTGTTGGCATGAGGGGGAGACCCTGCCCGCATATGCCAGAGGCTCTGGGATGGGGCAGCGGAGCCCAGCGCCTTCTTCACCTGTGCCCACACAGAAGACGTTGTTTGCGTGGGAAAACAGGAAGGCACCTCGTGGTGGGTGCTCTGGATGTTTCTGTAGCATTGGTGTTTCCCCAGGCATCTCTGGTCCATGTTAACGCTCCAAAAGCACACTTTTCAGATATCGGGTCCTGATTAGCTTTGGGAAACATCAAGTTCAGAGTCTGGTGGACTCTGGTCAAGGATTGCCAAGAGTGGAGGCAGGGAGTTCAGGCCATTTTAGGCCCTAAGTAGTGGTTAAGAAGTTGAGGCTCCAATACTTTGTCCACCTGATGCAAAGAGCCAACTCACTGGAAAAGACCCTGATGCTGGGAAAGATTGAGAAGGAGAAGGGGGTGACAGAGGATGAGATGGTTGGATGGCATCACCGACTCGATGGACATGAGTTTGAGCAACTCCAGGAGATGGTGAAGGACAGAGAAGCCTGGCGTGCTGCAGTCCATGGGGGTCGCAAAGAGTCGGCCATGACTGAGTGGCTGCATAACAGTGGTGAAGAACTTGAGTGCAGAGCAAACTGGTCTGGGTTCCAATGACCACTTATTAGCTGGGACCAAGTTCTTGAAGATGTACCTCACTGTCCTCATCTCCAAAGAAAGGATGATAAGTGTACACTGCATGGGGACACAGATGGATGTTCAGGCTGGGAAGGGGAGGGAGGAGGAAGACGGACTCTGTGGAAAAGAGTCACACCATGATGGCAGCCCAGGGCCCCGTTCTGCCTTCTCCAGGTCCTCGCCCGAGGCTGGGCTCCAGCCTGAGTTCAGGAAGCCCCACCTCCTCGCTCTGGTGCCTGAGGAGTGACCGAGCGTCTGGGCGGCCGGGCAGCTGTGGCTGAATCACATGGTGGATCCGCAGGGCCCTTCCTGGAGCCCACCCAGCCCCACAGACGAGGACTCAGCCGTGACTCACGGTCCAGGTGGTGCCCGAGCCGTGAGTCACCCTGCGCCCCTTCCTCTTACACCTGGGATTCGGCATGCACAGCCTGCACCAGCTTCTCTTGCCTTCTCAGCCTCTTCTCTTCTCTCCTCCCTCCTTCCCGCCTTTCTTTGCCTCATACGCCTTTCTCTCTCACTCATCAGACCCTGGCTGATCTCCCTGGCTATATGGACGGCTTGAGCCTGTCAGACGGGTAATGCAGATGGCAGCTTCTCAGGCAGCTCCTGAGATGTCGTGAGGGACGACGGACAAGCAGGCAGAGGGGGAGACTTGCCTGCCCTGACCTGGTGTCGTTTCTGTGACCTGGGGGCGTGTGTGTTAGTCTGTCAGTGACATCTGACTCTTCGTGACCCCGTGGACTGCAGCCCTCCAGGCTCCTCTGTCCATGGGATTTTTCAGGCAAGAACACTGGAGTGGGTTGCCATTTCCTTCGTCAGGGGATCTCCCCAACCCAGGGATGGAACCCTTGTCTCCTGCATTGCAGGTGGATGATTCTTTACTGTCTGAGCCACCAGGTTAATTTCGTTAGCTCCCTCTGCCTTTGGAAGGGGAAATAACAGGGTTGTCAGATGGACAGACGTGAGTAAGAGAGGAATGGGGAGTCAAGGAGAACCCCTTTCCTGAACATTGGTTCTAACAAGCCACGGCTCTGGGGAGCTGAGGGTGGGGGGCTCGGGCAGGATGGTGGGTGCCAGGAGAGGAAGGGGACGTGGCGGGGAGGCTGTTGGAGCAGTGCCTAGCTGGCCTTTAGCCTTTGCCAGCTCTCACCCTTGCTTCTGCCTGTGTGTTAGACTTCTTGTCTCTGAACAGACTGAGTTCTGAAGTTCAAGGCCTGTGCTTGGGGCCCTGCGGTGCTGGGGAGTGGGGGGTGGGGGCTGGATCCCCACTGGGACGTGCTCAACGTCCCGGAGGGGTGAGGCTGGCTGGGCCCTCCTTGGGGTTTGCCGAGGCAACGTCCTGACCTGGGCTGGGAATGCGGAATGGGGTGCAGGGGCCCACACAGGGCAATTGGCTTTCCCCTTTGTGAAGCCAAACCACGCTGGGACCTGCCCCGGCCTGTGAAGTCTGAGACACCTATTTACCTGGGCTCCTGGCCTCGTAACCGGAGAGGAGGAGGGGGGTTTAAAGGGCTCAGCCTCCTGCCGCCTGCCCGCCCTGCCTGTCTGGGGATCTGGGACGGCAGCAGCTGCTCCTTCTGCTGCATAAACTATTCCTGAGCTCTTCGTCACATCCTCTTCCTGCAGGACAGACAGCTCCAGGAGCGGCCAGGCTTCCCGGAAGCCCTGCGTTCAGGGAGTTGGCGGGGTGGAGAGAAAGAGACCAGACGGGTGGGCTTAAAGCCCCGGGGGTGTGAGCCGTGCCCTTTCCCTGCGGGGGGCTGCAGAGCTGTGTGCGTGTTCTTCCTGCAGAGGCAGAGCCCGGGAAGGCCAGCCGCTCGTACTGATCCCGGCTTGTTAAGCCAGATTTTACTGGAATGTTTACATGGGTCAAGACGCTAACGTGTGGGAAAGTTCATTTTGCAACTGAACGGCTTATTGTCCATTTGCTACTTAGAGTATTTCTCCTGCCTGTCTAAACCTCTTGAGCTATATGAGAATCTGAGGGTTAGAAATGCCCAGTTTACCATTTAATCCACAAAATCCTCTGTTTTGCCCTGGAGTGTTCTCAAACCAGTTTCTTGGACACAACCCTCCAGTTCCTGCTTAGGAGTCACTGACAGGCTGAACTGGCTCGTTTAGAGTCTCCTTTAGTAGAAACTTGGAGGTGACCGTGTCCAAACAATGCCTGTGTAGGCTGTGCCCAGCCAAGATCTGGACTGGGCGACCTTCCAGATCTCTCTAAAAGCCCTCGAACCCTTGCCTGGTGGAGGGGAGACGTGTCCTCTGAGACCAGCCCCTCTCTCTGGGCCTGTGACTGTCATTACAGCCACTCTCAGCCCAAAGCCCCGAGCCAGGAGCCACCCAGGGTCCCACAAAGGCAGCTGTGTTCTCAGGCCTGGCGGGGGCCCAGGGGAAGTCGGTCCAGCTGTGCCTCAGCCCTCCCTTCCCACTCCTGTGGTCAGATCTGTTTTCTGTCCCTCCAGGCGGGCATTCTTGCCCAGTGGGAGGGGCTGGGAGAGCAGCCTTTCCCCGAGCTGGGAGCTGTGACTCACAGGTAGTTACCTGTCCTTGGGCTCCCTGCCAAGCCTGCGAGGGAGCCGGAGGGGAGGCATTTAGAGTTCATGCCTGTTGATTTCTCCTAAGCTTTTCTTGGGTGGGTTGGGCTCTGACCCCTTCCTGATGAACCGTAGCCTTTTAATCCGCGCCCCCCAAGAAGCAGGGGTTTTCCACTTTTTTGCTTTCCCTTGGGAGGTGCTTTCCAGGGTCCTCGATGATGTTTGCATCTTCTCCCCTTTCAGCTAGCTGACAGGTCTGGGGCTGTAATACCCGATATGCAAGCCCTGATCCTTATGTTCTCTGCATGGTCTTCTGTCCAGGGTGGCCCAGGACCCCAGGAGAGGCTGACCTCTACGGGCCTTGGGAAAGGACCCAGCGCAGTGGCCGTCACAATGTGAGTGGCCATCACCCCCCGCCCTGCCTCCCCCTCACCGGCCCCCAGGAATCCTGGTCTCCTGTGATCACTCACATTTCCCTGGTGTAGCCCACTCCCACTCCCCAGCAAGCAGGCGGGCACTGCCGATCTTGCTGTGAGGCCTCCGGACCGGCCCCACCTGCCCAGTCCTGTCTGGGGGTGGGGTGGGGGTGTGGTGACGGCAGACGGGTGTGTGCCAGCGGCCAGATTCCTGAGTCCCGCCCTGCAGCCGGCGACGCCCAGCTGGGGAGTCTCCAGAGGTGAGGCCGTTGTTTAAAAACTGGGAGCCAGGAGAGGAGACCCCCACATTCAAGGGGAGCGTCTCAGAGAGGCGATCTGGAGAAAGCACTGCGGCAGCACGGAGCAAGGTCTGTTACCTGCCTTCACCTGCCGGGTGGGGGCCGAGGGTGGGACCAGGCTTGTGAACCTGGCTGTCTGGGGCCTGGCTGCAGGTCCAGATTCCTTCCTCTTCCTGGGAGCTTTAGCTAAGCCCACTGGGATCCAAAGGCTGGGTGTCGAGTCTGCCACTGTTTGGATTGCTTTCTCCCATCTGATAAGCGTCTCGGTGACCTAGAAGAGAGCAGGTTCAGAGCTGGGGTTGGACACAAAGAGGGAAGGAGAGGGCAGGTTGGCCTCTTCTAAGAGCTGCTCACAGTGCCTAGTTCCAGGCGGGGAGGGGGCGAGTTTCCAGCCCCTGGAGGAAGCCAGATGATGGGTCTTCCTCTTGGGCCACAGTTAGCTGTGTGAGCTCAGGCCACCTGTCTCTTCTCTGGGCCCCTGACTCCTCTGATAGGGGATTGGAGGAAAAGAGTTTGAAGCCTTAGGATATTTGATTTAAAGATGTCAGGGGGTCCCCTGCCCCGCCTTGCCATCCCTCCATCTGGGCCGAAAGGATGTGTGGCTATCGTTGGAGCAGAGTAAACACCTGATCCAAGGCAGCAGTGGACTCCCCATGAGCAGGGTGGGGCTTGCCTCAGCAGGGCAGTGCCCTGCCTCTAGGACCCCCGCCCCCGCCAGCCTCCTTCAGTAGCCTCCCAACCCCCACCCCTCTTGTGCATCCCCAGTGCATCACTGGAGAAGTTCTGAGTTGCTCTCAATTCGGATGAATTCCTCACTCACTTTTTAAAGACTTCTAGGCCTCCTACTTTTCCTCATTGTATTCCACTGCCTGCTCAGCCCAGAGATGCTGGCCCCACAGTCTCAGCCTCAAGGTAGCCTGGGTGATACTGGATTCCATGCCAACAGCAGGAGACGGCTCCCCTCCAGGCCATCAGCCTCTTTGCGCCACACACTGTTGAGCCTGAAGGTGGGCCAGGGCTGAGAAAGGCCAGTCCTCTTTCCTAGGGTGACACTGAGGCCACAGACTTCTCCTGCAAAGGGCCTAGTCCTTTCTGGCTCCCCAACTTGTTCTGTTGACCATGGGGGGTCAGGGCAGGGCTGATCCCTCCCGTCTGTTTCAGAGTGGGGAGCCTGGAGTCCAGGAAGAGGTAGTGACATTCTCCCAGGACAGCCTGGGAGTCTTGTGCCCGCTGGGACGGGGGCCAGGTCTCCGGAGTCTTCCAGGTTTTCGCTACAGATGCGCCTGCTGTTCAGAAGTGTCCTAGGCCAAGGCCCCAAGTAAAGGCTTCTGAGAAAACTCGAGTCCAGAAACAGTAAAGGGCTAGCGCAACCTAGGGGTTTGCATGGCTTCACCCAGGCTGCTTTGCTCTGCCCCAGGTGAGGTCCTGGGTGGGGATCGCCTCGTCAAGTGAAGATGAGGCCGCTCCTTCTCCTGTATTTTGGTGAGTATCCCTTCCTGTCCTTCTGGGCCCCGTCATACAGCAGAGAGGGGACGAGCCACGGGTAGGAGGACATTCTACCAAAGTGTGAACATCACCCATCACCCGGGGCCCTGGGGTTTGGAACACTTGCCTACTGGGATGCCCATGAGGTTTCTCTGTCCTGGGGGCCTCTGAAGAAGATGAGACTCATAAAAGGCTCCCAAGTGTCTTCTTCTTCCTACCTGAGGGTGGTTCATGGCAGCCCCAGTGCCCTGGTGCTGTGTTTATTTTCCATCTTCTCACTCTCAAACTGGTCCCAGAGCCATCATGGCTTGAGTTCTCGATGTTCAGGAAACTGCAGCTGTGAAGTGAAAGTCGCTCAGTGGTGTCCGACTCTTTGTATCTCCATGAACTGTACAGTTCATGGAATCCTCCAGGCCAGAATACTGGAGTGGATAGCCTTTCCCTTCTCCAGGGGATCGTCCCAACCCAGAGACTTGAACCCAGGTCTGCCGCATTGCAGGCAGATTCTTTACCAGCTGAGCCACCAGGGAAGCCCAGGAATACTGGAGTGGGCAGCCTCTCCCTTCTCTGGGGGGTCTTCCCGACCCAGGAATAGAACTGGGGTCTCCTGCAAGTGGATTCTTTACCAGCTGGTTATTTGCAAAGTTGTGGCGGGGCGACTTTAAGAGATAAAGGAGCAGACAGAATGCAGGTCTCTCCCCGTGCCCCCCAGACGGCCAGCATCCAGCGCCGCTCTGTTAACAGGCGAGGAGAGCTGTGGCCAAGCGTGTGTCTGCAGCTCAATTCTAAAAGCCGCATATGGATGCCACATTTCAGAATCAACTTCTACGTTTTTAAAGCTGAGAGTTGCAGACTATAAAATCAGCTTTTTTTTTTAACCAAACAGCACCAGGATTGCAATTATTCTCACCACCAGCAGGTCGGAGCATGAAGGCAAGGAAGAGGGTCTAGTCTTGCCGATAGATGACTGCTTCCCTGGGGGGCACTGGGGTGGCCGGCCACACTGTTCTCTGTTTAGGCTGCACCCCAGCAC